ATGTGAATGCTTGAATTTTTTTCGGTAAGTGTGTGAAAGGTACAGATGGGTTTTTGAGAATAAGCATATTACGTGAACAAGTAATCTGAAGTCTAGCCTTGTTCTCAAAAGTGGGTCAGGGAGATATAAATGTCAGATTCATATATCTTCCAATATTCTCTGTTGCAGGGACTTTGCCACATCAGTGAGCTCAGTTCAAATTGGCTGGCGAAGGCAGAAGATGTGAGAACTATTTCTTTTGTGTCATTTCTTCCTGGCACTATCAAATTATGGGCCGTTATCATGGTGAAATGATCTTTTTTATCATTGTGTTGTTTCAGGCCTTTAAAGTTGGAGATCGTGTTGATGTCAAACTTATTGAGGTTAGCAACATCCTATGGTTTATTTCTTCACTCAAAATGTTTTATCATAATTCTAAAATTGCATTTGAACATTTTTTTTTCAATAATTTCTTTAATTGTTAACGGAAGTTTTTACAGCATGGTTGGTTCATTTTCCATTAAACTATTACCTTGTTCATTTTAATTATCACAGGGATCTTTTTTCAAATGAAAATTGCTAGAGGATCTTATAATATTTAGAAATGCAGCATTATTTTTATATTTGAATTACTTCTATTCTTACTTTCAGTTTCTTGGGTTGGAGATAATTCATAACAAATTGTGATATAAGTTATTATTTTAATAATCAAGTGGATGAATAAGGTGAAAATTGAACTGAAGAAGACCTTACTGTTACATCTCCAATATTCTTCCCTATGTGGACTTACTGGAACTAATAAGCGTGTGTAACATGGGTATCCAGTCTCTTTGTTAAGGTGCCCCTAGAAGTTCTGATCAACCAAATGAAAATTCTTTTGATGTCAGTATGATTAAATTGATTATATTTTTTTGGTAATTTCTAATATATAAGGGACCCATTTTTGCTAGTATTTCTTGTAATACTGGCTTGCACTGGTGTTAACTAAACAGAGTAAATTGGGAAGTCCTGGCATTATGTTGCTTTACGGATTATATAAAATCATTTAGATGCTTACTTAATGTTGCAATAGAATTTGAAAAATAAGGCTAAATTACTGTAACGAACCCGTTCCTCCTGCCTCCATCTCATACTGTTTTGACTGATTCCAGCTACTGTAAATAACCTCTCTAGTAATCACAAGAACAAAATGCAGGTAAACGGAAAGGGACAACTTCGCCTTAGCCGTCGAGCACTACTTCCTGAAAAAGATTCTGAGAAATCTAGTGCAAAGCAGCAACCTAGTGATCCCACCAAAGACAATGAAGATAAAAGTACACCCAAAAAATACATTAATAAACTGGAGGATAGTTTGCCTGAGGAGAAGAGTGAACAAATGAACCAAGTTGTAAACTCCTCAAAAAGTAGTTCTGCAGAAGACACCGTCCTGACACAAAAGAAAGTTAATAGGAGACAAAAACCGAAAAAAAGCGGCAGTAGTAAAGCAGTGGGAAGTCTCTCCACCAAAGATGTTAGTAATTTGGTGAACGGAGAGGCTAAAATTGGGTAGCAGCATACTCAATTATAATCAAGTGATGAAAATTTATTGGTTTCTCAACGAGAATCACAATGGAAGTGCTTCCACATTGACAAGTAATACAGGTATAAACTCTTCTTCTCTCACGTTGAAATTTGTACTTGCATTTTATAAACCCAACTTTAATCATACTAATTCGTTTAAGCGGATACAGGGGTTCAATACGATATGCCTGAACTTGAATGTGCTTGTCAATCTTTAACCAGTTGCTGATGGAACCTGAGAAGATGCAACTCCTGTATCATCATCTTTTTCTGCAAGTAAAAGGGGCATTTACGGGCAAGGTCGATTTCTGAAATAGTTTATGCTTCTTTAAGTTTTGAATTGTACAGGAAATACCTTCTTGATAGAATGATTGGAAAGTTTTGGTGCACCTTGGGGCCTCTTGCAGCTACAAATTCATTCTTCCATATCCTTATATAATCATGAGCAATGCTATGCCAGTCATGGCTGTTCATTTGTGCAGTTCTACTCTGTTAAACTTCAAAATTAGTTGATATTGCCATGATTAAGTCCCCTTATTCACACCAAAAAGCCAAATCATAGCTTCATGTATTTTCTGGAACTGCATCACCATGTTAATGATGTCAGAGTGCAATAGGATCTGTATCAGCAATAGTTTCACTCAATTGTGGTGTTTGGTTCTCTAGGATTTCTGTTTCAGCTAGAGCATTGCTAAGGCCGAGGGGGTAATGGACATGAATTTAGTACTAGGTTAGGCTTAACAGTCTAGAACAAGTATAAGGCAGTTGGAGCTTTGAGCTGTAGTTGGGTGAGCTCTATTTGTACTTGCACCAATGTTTTCAAGTGAGGTCTGTAAAGCTACATCGTTTTCAAACAAATTTCGAGAAGTTCAAACATAATAACAATGCTAGTATCTTTTCCGTTCAATAATCCGACGATATCAAGCAAAGATTGGGTCAACGTTAAAGGATATAACAATGGCCTGTTATTAGTATGTTCAATACCAACCACCTTTGCTGGAAAACTCCTAGACACCACTGTGTAATCTTTTTTATTTTTGATACAGCCCATAAATCATTGTTATACTTGCAACGACAACTATCTCCCATCAACTGTCATCCTCTTAGGAATAATATTATCTTCGAATACCCGATCTCCATACTAAGTTTTGTACCAAACTGTGATTGAGAGCGAATCTCGTCAATAGGATTCCTCACATTTCCCATTAGTTCAATCACAAGAAATTACCCATCTTTGTAGCACCCACCTTGGCAGCCTCTATGTTCATGGTGGCAAATCATTCGATACTTGCCCAGGTAATATCGGTTTAAGAAGCAACCAGTTGCTACTGGGTGCTCATTTTTGTTTTTATTAAGTAAAGTACAATTTATTTTATAATTTATTGAGAACTTAATTCTATATCACTAAATTAAATAACTTTATTATTAAAAATCTATGAAAGTGTTAGTTTATTAATAGTACATTAATTAACTTAATATTAATTTTACAAGTAATTTATTGATCAACTAAAATAATTATAAAGATTTACATTTGAAAACCATATTACATAAAAGAAAATAATTCATCAGTGTATGTAAGATCATAACAAAATATAAGAAAATTGACCCAAAAAAAAAAGTTTTCAATAAAAATATAAGAAAAAGTTAATAAAAATAAATATAGAAAAAATAAAGTGGAATACAAAAATAAAATAAAGAAATATAAGAGTATATATAGAATTAAGGATATTAATGAAATTTCAGTTAATATATAATGTTTAATCATATTATTAAATTTATCATTATTTAAATAAATTAATTAAAAATATTTCTTATTGGATTTAATTTAAAAAATCAGAATACTAATAAATAAATTCTAAAAGTTCCTTTTCAAAATAAGAAACTGCTTTTGCTGAACTTCACGGCAGAAAGAAGAGCTGCTCTTCACGGCAACCAACCGAGTAACTGCTATCTGGGGGTAGCCTCACCGCTCTGCGAATTGAAGAAGATGGAAGAGAAATGAAAAGTTGGAAAACCATAAAACTAGTATTGTGGCCGAAACGCAAAGCCCCAACATCCGCCATAACAAAATGGTTTTCAAAATTCTGTTTTCTTCTTCATCTTCTTCTTCGACGGCAGCATTCAAAGGGAAAGGTAATAAACTCTCCTCTCTCTTCGCTTCCCCGCGCAAACCCAATACTTCATATCTTAAATCTGAATCCCCTTCTCAGAACCTGACCCAAGTTTTGAAGGTCCTTAAAACTAAGTCCAATTCAGGTAATATCACGCTCAATGAAGCTTTGCAACTTTTTGATCAATTGATTCACATGCAGCCCACTCCTAAAATGTCATCTTTAAATATGTTGTTGGGAGCAGTAGCTAAGAATAAACACTGCGCTGATCTTGAGTTGTTTTACAAAAGACTGGTTGCAAATGGATTTTTTCCTGATCTTTTTACTTTAAATATTTTGCTGAATTATTTTTGCAATACTAGTAGGGTCGCGGTTGGTTTTTCTGTGTTGGGAAGGATTTTTAGAAGCGGTTTTAGGCCAAATGCAGTGACCTTTACCGCTTTAGTTAAAGGGTTGTGTATGCAGGACAATGTTTGTAAGGCCACCAAATTGTTTGAGAAGATGATTGTCTTTGGTTGTAGGCCTGATGTGGTTACATATGGGACTTTGATTAATGGGTTGTGTCGAACAGGGAACCTCAATCTTGCGGTTCAAATACATGAAGAAATGTACCGTGAAAACCTTGCTTCTGGTGTTAATCTTGTTACTTATAATACCATTATTGATGGCTTTTGTAAACATGGGTTAATAGAGGAGGCAAAAGAACTGTTTTTGGAAATGAAGACTCGGAAAATCTGTCCAAATGTTGTTACTTATACCTCTATAATTTCTGGATTATGTTTGAGGGATAAATTGGAAGAAGCTAAGGCCTTTTTTGTTCAGATGCTAGATCAAGGTATTGGCCCCAATGTATTGACATTTAATGTGTTAATCGATGCAGTGTGCAAGAAAGGTAACATAGAAGAAGCGAAGGGGTTTTTTGAATTAATGATTTCAGAGAGGTGAAATTCCTGATACAATAAGTTATAATACACTGATAGATGGGTATTGTTTGGTGGGTAGGACAGATGATGCAAAGGGAGCTGTTTCATCGTATGATAATTGAGGGATGTGAACATGATAATTTTAGTTACGATATATTGATCAATGGCTACTGTCAGAATAACAAGGTTGAAGAAGCTATGTGTCTTTTTAGGGCTATGAATTCTGAAGCCATTAAACCAACAATTATTACGTTTAATACATTAATGAAGGGTCTTTTCAAGGCAGCGAGGGTTGTGGATGCAAAGAAACTATATGATGAGATGCAAATATTTTCTGTTGAACCAGATTCAGTTACCCATAATATTTTTATTGATGGACTTTGCAAGAATGGTTGTGTTCCCGAGGCAATACAAATGTTTTATACTTTAGACAATGGAAAACGTAATATCGAAACCTTCAACTGCATGATTGATGGATTGTTTAAAACAGCAAAGATCAAAATTGCATGGGAACTATTCAATAGATTGTCTCATGAAGGCATGGTGCCAACTGTAGTAACATATACCACTATGATCTATGGACTATGTAAAGAGCGGCAATTGGAAAAGGCAAATAATTTGCTATTAGAGATGGAGAAGAAGGGTTGTGCTCCGAATGTGTTCACATTTAATGTGCTGATGAATGGATTCTTGCAAAGTAACAAAACAGAAAAAGTTGTTGAACTTCTTTACAAAATGCATGAGAGAAATTTATCACCAGATGCCACTACTATCTCCATAGTGGTAGACTTACTATCAAAGGATGAAAATTATCGCGAACATCTAAAATTGCTTCCAACATTTCCTACTGGAAAAGCCAACAGGAAAGATGAGAATGTCAATGTTGAGTTCCTACCATGAGTTCGGGGAACATCGTGTTACTTGTTTCTAATTTTCTGAGGGAAAAACCATACATGAAGCTGCCCTTTTTTTTTTGCCCACTCATGAAGATATTTAGAAGTGCTGGCGTATTCTGAAGGATTAAATTGCAGAGGCTGTTGCCTTATATAGCATCGCTTCCCTAAATTCAGATGCTTATGCAAGAGACAAGAGCGGAGACCAATATTCACTATCTGAAGGGGCATTTCCGTAGAGATCTCTTTCCTTCTTTTAAGTCTTGATAACTGCCAGTTTTTGAAGAAAATGGTGTCCATATGTGAAGCGGCCTCTAGGCCCTGCTTTGACAACACAAGGAAGAAGTTACCTCTCTATATATAATGCACATGTACCAGGTATGATTGTTTCAAAATTGTTTTGTGAATGTAAATTAACTCTGCAAGTTAAGGTAGAAGTTCTTTTTTCTGGTGTTAGTAAAGAAAATATTTTGTCGAAGTATGCTGCTTATACCAGACTGGTGTCTGAAATATACAGCGGGCCATTCATTGGTTATGTAGTCTAGGTTTCTGGTTCAGGGAAAGAATTAGTAAAATAAAAAAGAAAGTTCCAAAAAGAAAAGAATCAATACTATGGCCTGTTGTCAACTTGTCCTTTTATTTATTTGTCTACACGAGCATCTTGATGTTGCAAATACTGCAAGTTTGCTGCTAAAAATAATGTTGTTGTGCCATCTTGGCTAGTCAAATGAACATGAAATGTGCATAGGTACCATTTTTGGATGCATTGTAGTTGGAGTGTATGGCTAGGCTCTTCAAAAATCGTTCTAGCCATCTGCCTTGCTTTCAGGACATAACATTTTGATTTGCCGCTTTCTGGGCCAATACTCATAGTTTCTTTTAGCAATGTCTATTTGGCTTTTCTGCAAAGGGATTTGGATGCATTGTTGTTCTGAAGTATTCCTTTTTCCTTTCGTTGTTTTAGGAGGATTTGCTGTGTTCCATTTTTCACGAAGTTTCCTGATGGTTTACTTTTTTTCAGGGGTGTATTTTAAGGGTGATCGAGTGAGAAAGGAAGCGAAACTTTTTTGTGATGAGGAACTATCTTTTCTAGTTTAAGGACAATATAGCTTGTACGAAATCAAAAAACTTTTAGTGACCACAATACGTCTTCCATGAGATGTGGGATAAGGTGAAGTTTTTGGCATCATTATGGGTGAAGGTGCATGGAAAATTCTTTAACCTGCCTATTTCTCAACTCCATTGGAATTTGGAGATTATTATTTTCTGTCACTAATTTAGTATATCCTGTATGATTTTTATTTATTTGTAATTTTTAGCTTATTATTTTCTGTAATTTCTGGAGGATATCTCTTCCTCATTTCTTTGGACTGTTCTCCTCTTACCTTAATAAATCCTTTTTTTTGTAATCAAAAAACAGTATTTGTTTTTTCATAAAATAGAAACGTAAAATTATGATCAAATACTCTATAATATTGAAAAATGGAGAAATTATTGGAAACCGAATTTATGTATGATTGAATATTGTCACCGATAGGGCTTAACTTTTTCTGCTTGAACTTAATCTTGTGCAATTTTTAAATTTCTTATTTGCTTTTGGTCTGAACCTCACATAGAATATGTAAATTCCTTATGATATGATAAATTGCTAATGCTGTAATTGGACATCTGGTGCTAGCAAAATTGCCCTTAACTGTGCCTGTGTTTCTTGATGGTTTGGCTGTGCAAACTTTGTGAATATTACTTCTGTTTAATATCTAGTGTAGAAATAAGTGGTCCGGAAGTGCAGAATCCTCAACGGTTTGCTTTTAAGACAAAAATTTATTGAATCCTTTTGTAATTTTTCATGGCTCTTAGACCTTTTATTTCTATGACTGGGTTGTGTAAAATATTATCTTTGTCTAGGCAGTTGCATTTAGTTGAAACAGCATGATGCTCACATTCTATAGTTACTGATGACTCAAGTTTGATTTGTATCTCCTGTTTAACATATATACATTTATGTATATATATTACTCTCTTTTAGACAATTAATTGGGTGGAAGTGGCTGCAGTTTGGTGAGAAGTGCTACTCTTCGTTTGGCAGCCATTGTTATGTTACATTGTCTTATAATCTTTTGTCTACTTGCCATGCTCAGAACTTGTATTTTACATGGATACAACTGATTCTTCTACTTTTTTCGAGTGTTCAGTACCAAGAAAGAAAAACAGAAAGTTGAATACAGAGAGTGTATGCGAGATTTGACTAGATAGTCAAAGAGTTGGCAATAGCGGAGAAGGTGGACACAAAATTGTCTAGATAGTCGTGGAATTTCCAGCAGTTGACGAGCAAAGCAGCATAGCAGGTCTGCAGCAGGCACACGCTCTCTTTGTGGCGATAAAACTCGAGTGAGAGACTGAGGATGACAAGAGAAGAGAGTTAGAGATATTAGGTTAGTTTAATTTGTATTATCAGTCTACTCTTTTACCTTCCAGGCTCGAGCTAGACTGGAATTTCACTAGAAAAAACTACATTGAGGTGGTGGAGCAATTTGAATGCCTAAATTTGTTGACTGGATTGTGATCTCTAAATGGAAATATACTTTGAAATTAGCATAACTAAAATCTCGAGTGTTGAACCTTTTATCCCTTCTCAACACTCGGATAATAAAAAAAATAGTTGGTGTGTTTAATATAATTATTTATTTATAAAATATTATTTTATTTTGTCATATTTCATTATATGTAGAAAAGTATGGGTTACTTAAATCTCAAGGTATTATTTAAGTTGTAACACCTAAAATAAAATTTTAATGTAATTTAAAATTAAGAAATATAATTTTTTAATTTTTTCTAATTTAATTTAGAGTAAAAATTAAATGAGGATAAAATTGAAAACAATTTTGGTGAAAATTTGGGTTATGAATGTATTTTTGAAAGAAAAATTGAAAATTGGAGATCAAATTACAATTTATGAAAGTTCTACCACGTGGTACGCCTGGTCAGTAGCTCTGACGAACCAAGATGCGCAGCATGGCAGGGGATGCTGACGCGATGCCACGCAGGAGGGGTCACGCTGGCGATCCACGTACCTACAATCGAACGGCTCAGATCAAACGCGATGGACAATCCAGATTAAAAGCGGACGAATATAAATAACTCTCATCTATACCAAACCCTAACTCTAGCCGCCAAACCCTCTCGAAGGAGAAGAAGACCTGGCCGCCGAGAAGAAGACTGCAACCACTCGCCACACCACCGAAGCCCGCCAAAAAAGGTAAAAATTTCTCCTTTTGCTCAAAATTCAATTTTAAACACACTTATGGTCAAATTGGAGCAAAAGGACCAGCCGATTGACCTAAAAATGTGGGCAAAGCCCAGCAGTGCCGCAATTCCACAAAACGTCTCCAATGAGGCCCTTCCCGATTCCTGTTCTGTGTAATTTTTCTACCGTTGTGATTACCGTATCCTTCTCTACAAGTTAACTGGAGCAAAATACTCAACCGCAGTGTAAGCCGGAGGAGCTGCCGGTAAGTTTCAGTTTTTTGTGTTTTTTGGGCTAACCGAGGCCATTTAATGTATTTTTTCACATGGATTGATGCAAAATCGATCAAATTCAACTGAAAACAGCTAAAAATAGCTTACCCAAGGTAGACCGTCGCCGGAGCACGACGGAGCCGCAGTGCCGGAATTTTAAAATTGGCCAAGTGGGTCATGGGACTGATTTTGGGTTTGTTTGGAACATTTGTAGGTATTATTATCGCGTTTTAATTTCCGAAAAAAAAAAATTTAGGAAATCCGAGAATCGCCCGTAGGTGCAGTCGAACATTTTGGCTTTTCGGGTATCAAATTGAATAAGAATCATTCACCTTATTCCCTATCATAGAATTAAAGTCTAAATAAATAATAATATAATATTTTGTGTGAATTTAGAAAATGTTCATAATTAATTATGAATTGCTAATGAACCTAGAACCGAAAATTCTTTACTATTGCTTTATTGATTATTTTACAGTTTAAATGCATGATAGTACCATATTAATTGATTTTATGGCTTTGAATGCATGTATGGTTTATTGTATGTGTTTACTGTTGAATTAGAAAAAAATAGAAGTTAAACGGTAAAAATTGTGTGATAAAATGAATAGATAAAACGACAGCTTTACTGAAAATTCTGGGAGATGGTGGACGGATCGGGTATATAGGGAACCATATTGTGAATGTTGTCTCATACCGGACGGAGTATGGAGATTTGACAATTTAGTACTCATACCGAACGAGATATAGGGACGGCACGCTTCACCCTCATACCGGACGGAGTATTGAAATTTAGTAAATTGGTGCTCATACCAAACGGAGTATGGGAACGGCCCGTAATTGAGAATGTTAAATGAAATGGTTCACATGTAGCGAGAACATCCCTATGAACTCCCATGAATACCAGCAGGCTGGTAAAAAAAGTGACAGTTATTGTTTGATTTATTGATAATGGTTATAGAATTATAATATGTGCTATGTTGCTGATTATACATCAAATCATGATCTGTATAATGTTATTGTCTCTATAGGTTGTTTTTATAAATTCCATTATAGTGAGTGGACGGTAAATGATTTTATGATTGATAAATGAATTTGTTAAATTTAGTACTCCATTAGTGTTTTTTTTTTTATTTTCTACCAACTTTTATTTATGTGTCGGTGATATAATGTAATGTTTTAACCGGTTAGTGTAGTTCATTCTTTATTTAACAATTTTAGATCAAGAGAACCAAGTTTCAGAGTCCGAACCGCAAGAGAATTGCGAGTATACGCTAGTTTTCTTTAATTTTCGTTTATTTCCTTATTTCTTGTATTTTTTTTAAAACTGAAATCCGCAGCCCTATTTAGTTCTTTAAATTATTGTGTAGGGAATGTAAATCTTGAATATTTATTACGCTTCCGCACTTAATTTATAATTTATTTTATTTGAATATTTGCGGAGTTGTTATATAAATTATGTCGGATTTGATGATTTCGGTTTTTATCCGATTTACAGTAGATCACTAGTAAATTTTTTTGATATTTTTGTAAATAAATTAATATTTTTTTAAGACTAAACCTCATAGTTGATATTATCTTATTTAACACGAAAATCTAGTTAGACTCCTATTTTTTTATATTGAATTTAATAAATATTGTTTCTCTCTCTTTTTTTTCTTAATCAATCAAATTTAAATATGATTTCTCATGAACCAGTGGTGATTGTTATCATTATTTTTATGTCTAAATGCAACTTTATGTGCCTAAATTTGTACATTTTATTCAATTAAATACTTAAAAGTTTTATTTTAAGCAAATATTTTGTTTTTGTTCAATCACATCTAGAATTTTTTATTTTAAGAAATTGAGTGTTCAATATTTTTCGATAAATTTAATCAAATTCTTGATATTAATTATTATATTTTATTAAGTATCTCTATCAATTAATAATTTTAATTTAGTATAATTTGATATAGTGTCCGATATACAAAAATTAGATCATCATATATAGAAAAACACATAAAAATACATAATATTAAATATTAAAATAAAAATTATTGTAACACTAATCCAACTAAAAAGATTATAATAATTATTTTCACTGCGTTCATCATTTTATATTTTTATTATGAATTAAAATATAGAGTGAAAAATGAGATAGTAATAATGACTTAGATTTATATTGTTTTTAATTTTAAGATATTTTTATTTATTTATAAATTTTGTATTTTTTATATATTTAATATGTCATTATGATGTTTGTAAATAAAGTAGGATAGCTTATAACATTAGATTTGATATAATCACATAAAAATACAATCATAAATATCAGACACTCAAGTAAATATAATAGAAATGTTAAGCATTTAATCATTAAATTAATTGCTCAAAATTATGAATAAAAAAAATTAAACACTTTTTTGTTCATAAAATTAAAAAATTAAGTTAATTGATTGATTTTTTTTTTTTTAAAAAAAGATGCTTGATCTCATCTGTCCTATAAAAACCCTCAGTTTACTGTTTGCTCTATTTCCCGCCACTTCTGCGCTCATTCTGTGGCAGATCGGTGGCAGTGTGTGAGATTCTGAAGAAGATGCTGTGGGTAGACAAGTACAGACCGAAAACGCTAGACCAGATTATGGTCCATGAAGATATCGCCCAGAACCTCAAGAAACTGGTACTGCTATACTTAAGCGCATAAAATTGGTGCTTATTTCTGTGTTTTGGTCCAATTCTAGGCTTTCTGGTACGTAATTGCCCCTAAATATCTCGTCTTTTGTGCAGGTCTCGGAGCAAGATTGCCCACATTTGCTTTTCTATGGCCCGAGTGGTTCGGGCAAGAAAACCCTAATCATGGCGCTTCTCAGACAAATTTTTGGACCCAGCGCTGAAAAGGTATCATTTTCAGTATTCCCACTAATTCAATTTTCCTCCTTTTTGGTGATTTTGATTTTTCCCATTTGGCTAATGTGAGAACTAACTGATAGGTAAGTTTGGGATGGAGAAGCTAGGGAGTTTCTATTACCTTGTTCAGACAGTTGTCTTAGTCTTAGTGAGTCGAATGAAAAAAGAGTAAAGCTTTTTAATTATGATTCTTGTACTCGTTGTCCAATGCAGTTTCATATTCTGACCCGTTAGTAGAGGAAACAAAGAAGAACATATGAAACTTAAATTATGAAATTTTTAACTTTTTCCAAAGGAATTTAGAACAAAAGGCACCTTTTCATAAGGTTCAGAATTGTCTTATTGGTATTGCTAGTGACTAAGAGCTACTGTTCACCAAGTGGATACTAAGTAGTATTTTTCCAATGTCTTTGCAGGTGAAGGTGGAGAACAGGACATGGAAAATTGATGTATGTTTCACCCTTTCCATCTTAATATTGAAACTTTTTTTAAAAATAAATCTTTAATATTGAAACTTATAGTGAAGGATCATAAAGTTTCTTTTCCTTTTGGAAACATGTGGTGGAAGGAAACATGTGGGTCTCATACCCCTCGCTATATTTTGGGTGCTGTGAAAAGAAAAAAACATGAGAGCTTTTGAAGGGGTGAAGATGAGTTTGAGAGGGTTAGAGCTAGATATCTGGCTTCAGACATTAGTTTTCGGTTTTGAGTCTTTATTCTATGGATGATCTAGGGGATCTTATAGATATCTTGTACATGGGTTGGCACCCCCTTGGTACTTGTGATTTAATGATATATACCATACTTTTTATTTAAAAAAAGTTTATTTTCCTTGTATTCTGATGTAATCTGTGTGAATGGTAATTTCTATTGAATGTACTTGAACTGAAGGAAATTAATTTCCAATGCCTATGGCATACCGAAATACTAAGTTAAATTGCTTGTTCCATCCTTTCTCTTTGACTAAAAAAGGGAGTTGCTTGTCCGCAATTAAAGTGAGCTTGTCTGTGTAGAATCTGAGGCATTCTTTTTCATGAGAAACTAGCATCAACAGGTACATCTTTAGATTTGATTACTTCATCAAATTGACAAGAATAGTGGTTATAGGAAAAGTAACCTTTCTGCTCCTCGTATTATCTTTTTTTATAGAAAATTCTCAATGAAAGAAAATATTGTACGAAAAATTATAGCTTTTAGTTGTTTCTGAGCTTTGGCCATGTTTGCTTCTTTTGTGTGTTGTTGATCTTTTCTTCATAGAATGGTTTGATATAGAATTATGCCATATGAAGGTATAAGTTGTCTGAATGTTTGTCATGTTTTCCCTACTTTTATGTTCAAACTTGAAATAGTCAAATTGTAGAGGATTGCAAAGCATGAGCAAAACTGATAGAAACAGTGTAGTAAATCTATGGCATTTCTTTTCCCTTATTTTTGTCCTCCTTTCTATTGCTTTAGTTACTGGTATTTTTCCGCCAATTGTATTTCAGGCTGGAAGTAGAAATATTGATTTGGAAGTGACCACATTATCAAGCACGAACCATGTTGAGCTTACTCCTAGTGATGCAGGCTTTCAGGACAGATATATAGTTCAAGAGATAATTAAAGAGATGGCGAAGAATAGGCCCATTGACACAAAAGGGAAAAAAGGATATAAAGGTGACTTCGGTATACTATTCTTGAAGTGTCATACGTTTTTAATAATGAAATATGTTTTTAAAATAAAAAGTATAAATTTTTAACAATGGAATATAGATTGTCTTGTTTTAATTCACATTGCCTTTTTTTAAAGATCAAGGAAGAGTATATGTTTTCTTGAAAATGGGATAAACTTTGCATTCTATTAAGCAATTTTCATTTCCAACAATAGATTTCTTATGAAGATTACTTTTACTTTTGTATTCTGAATTCTATATCAATAGAATGTAACAAGCTGCTCTACATTCACAAGATATTGAAATGTATATTAAGTTTCATTTGTAATTTAGAAGTATTTCAATTGCTAATGCAGATTTGGTCATGTGGAATTTAGAGAGACTGAGTTTCTTGCATATCAAGAAGGAGCATCTACATGGGTACATATAGTTGTTACTAATATAAAAAGCAGGAACCTAATTTCAATTCAATTCAAATCTCCATACCTACAGGATTTCCTAATTGGTATTCCATTTTTTTAAGAAGATTAATTTCTTAATATTAAGGCGGAAGATTGAGAGGTTTTCCAACACTCCTCAAGTTGGTGAATCTGCATATTTTATTTCCATCTTGGAGATAAGTCCTTGGAATGTTGCACTGTTGTGTCCTCTTGTTAGTACATTTGCAAGTTGTCCATTAGTTGAGGACGTGTCAAGTATGAATCAATTGGAAGTATGCAGTACAAATCAATCTACTACCTAACCTTCCTCTATGAAATGCCTATTTTACTTGCTCGTTTTATTATGTTGAACTAGATTGTGAGAAATATTAATAGTAGACTAGTTTTGTAAAATAATTTCAATGGCCCTTCCTATATGATCCTTAAATCTTCCAAATATATCTTGAAACACTATAATTCACAAAATATTGAGATGAAATCTGGCTCTAAACTTGATCGAGCAACCATATTTAGCTTTTTACTCCATGTGACAAGATTGCCTCCAAGGAAAGAACAAAAGTACGTAGTAGACCGTCTATCGATTGGTAAACCGGCATAATTTGGATCTGTGTATGTTTCAAGGACTATACAATTTTAGGAGTCTATTATTATAGTTTTAGTTGCTTTAGAACTTTATTTGTACTAGTATCTAGTTTTTCAATTTATATTAGTAATAGTTTTCAATTTTTATCAGGAATAACATTTCTAATTTATTAGTTTTAGCCTTAGTTCAATCATATTTAGTAAAGATTATTTAGAAAGCATTATCAATACTTTTACAATTTCACTTCTCGAGAGCGTTCAATCGTTCAATAAAAATGCTTCGTGAATCTTTCAATTTCCCGATTGTGTGGTTTAGTCAAATTCTTGATTTTGATGCTTAAGATTTTTTAGATGTACAATCCAAGTTTTTGTCTCCAAATCTCTAAATGGACAAATCAGCCATATTTGTCCTACATCAGTTTTAGGGGATGAACATGTGAGCCATATTTGTCCTACATCAGTTTTAGGGGATGAACATGTGAGCAGAATGTGATGGCAACAGGAACAAAATTGAGGTAAGGAAAACGAGGTTGAAACCTTGGTTTTTTCCTTTCCTTAAAAGGCAACGAAGACTGAGAAAAGTCCAGGAAAAAAAAAAGGATTGTGGTACCATGTAGAATTTAGAGATAACTAAATTCTTGTATATTGAGGAGTATGCTAGCTGTTACACAAAAAGGACGAAAAAAAGAAACTAATTACAAAACTCTAGTCAAATTTTCACATCAGGGGGATTCCCTAATTAGTATCTCATATTTTTAGGAGGATTAATCTCCTAATATTGAGACAGAAAATTGAGGGATTATCCAATAAGTCATCAGTGCAGTTCACTATAATACAAGGACAAGTAAACAACACAAAAAAATGATTGAAGATTCTCTCTATTATTTTAGGTTCTTAGTCTATCTGCCATCAACAAACCAAGCACTATCTTTATGTATTTATTTTATTTAGTTTGATGGTTTAACATCAACACGATTTGATGCTTTTCATGCTTATCTTTTGATTGCTGTTTGTGAGATAATTTCATGGTTATGTAGAATTAACGACATTACTCTTCAATTGTTTTTGAGATAACATTGCTCTTCAATTGTTATTGTTATTCTGTTAATGGTTTTATCTTCGTTTCTCATATTTTCATTTCCTGACATATGTTCACCCTCCAAAGCTATGACATTACAGCATCAGTGAGGAACATAGTTTTAAGGAGCATGCTTTATTCTTTTCTTATTTCATTGCCACGTCTATGTTAATTGTGGTATTTATATGTACATCTGTGTATTGTCAGTGTTAGTACTCAATGAGGTCGACAAGCTTTCACGAGAAGCACAACATTCTCTTCGAAGAACAATGGAGAAATATAGTGCATCTTGCCGGCTAATCTTGTGCTGTAACAGTTCTTCAAAGGTTACAGAGGCAATCCGGTCTCGGTGTCTGAATGTGCGCATAAATGCACCTTCGGAAGAACAGGTTGTGAAAATTTTACAACCTCATTATTATTTGATAAATAATATTTTTTTAAAAAGAAATGTATATGCAGAATGAATAAGTTGCTAGTTTGTTAACTTCAGATGACCCAAAAAAATGTGTATAAATTCACTGCAATAGATACCAACTTTCCAAGTAGCAAATTGAAATTCTGGATTCTTTCTAAATGGTCGTGAACTTTCTGCCTAAATCATTTGGAATAATGTCTTTTCCTAAAACTAAGAAATGGTTTCAAGGCATTTGATTAACATGCTGATTCTCCTTACTTTAAAATCATTGATTGGCATTATCCAAGGATCTTTTGGTCTCATCTATACATGCATTGTGCTTTTAATTAAAGTTGGATTGTACTGGAAAGATGTAGTTTGAAGGAGACATGGAGTTGTAGGTTTTCTATTTATTTAAATGAAAATAAATTCATATTGTCTTTTAGTACTTTCTCAAGTTAACATGAACTTTTATTACAGTGCATGTAGTAGATTAAGTCCCCCACTGTTAATGGCATTTGTTTGTTTGTCTCATCTAAAGTACTTTTATGAAATTCTCTTATATCAGATTGTAGGTGTGTTGGAGTTCGTTGGAAAGAAAGAAGGGCTGCAACTTCCTCCTGGGTTTGCTGCTCGTATCACAGAAAAATCAGCTAGGAGTCTGAGGAGAGCTATATTATCATTTGAGACTTGTCGCGTCCAACAGTTAAGCTCCATGCTACCTTTTATGTATAGGAAGAAATGTTGTTTTACTAGTTAGTTCCTTTTCTTTTTTACTTTCCAATTAACAGCTTTTAAGTTAGCATACCTATTGCATTATGATTATAGGTACCCATTTACAAGTAACCAAACAATACCTCCAATGGACTGGGAGGAATATGTTGCCGAAATAGCAACCGACATGATGAAGGAGCAAAGTCCTAAAAGGTTCAATCTTTGAGCATCTTATTCTGATGATATTATCAACATGTGCATTAATACAGCCTTCCGTAGCTTATTTGTTTCATTACATTCGTATTTATTTATTAATCTACGAGTTCAAGTCCTGCTGGATCTGCAAAAGGAAATAAACAATTGCAAATGTAATGCAATGCAACTGGGATGGATTAGTCCTCATCTATACTTTTCATTCTTTTGAAAGAGAGCAAATGTTAGAAAAACTGCAGTCCTGATTTGTACTAAAGAATTGTCTGATACTTCCATTGGTACAGATAACTTGAATGTGGTTTCACATTCATTCTGCTAAAAATTCTTTATTGGGACTCTTTTCTGTATGCTTCTAGGCTGTTTCAGGTGCGTGGAAAGGTATATGAATTGCTGGTTAATTGTATTCCACCAGAGATCATACTCAAGGTAAAGAAACTCCAGTCCCCATTATATTGTGTAATACCTTTTTCTCTTTGATGAGAAATGTTTCTATTTTATCTTTCAGAGGCTGCTTCATGAATTACTGAAGAAACTGGATGCCGAGCTAAAGCACGAAATCTGCCATTGGGCTGCATATTATGTAAGTACAGCAATATTTGTGAGTTATTTGCTATCATGTTGATCTTCTTGCTATGAAGGGTCTGATCAGGTACTCTACATTTGTGTTCCTTGTTTTAGGCCAATTCATGATTTCATACCCTCCAGTGCAATTGTTATGTGATTAGGAGTTAGGATAATGTAGACTCCCAATTTGTATTTGCCTCAAAGCCAATAAATTAAAGCATCCTTTCGTCCCCAATTGAGGATATTTTTCATTGACATCATTCCCCTTTTACGAAGGTCTTCCATACACTGAAAACCACTTAAGTTATTGTCTACGTAATGATAACATGACCCAAACAAACTCCAATAAAAAGTGAACTACACAAATTAGGGGGTGGGAAAAAGACATAAGTCACGATCAGCTATATTAATACTTTTATTCCATCATTTGATGGAGGAATTTTTAGTACTATCAACTGATCACCCAAAAAATGCTAATTATGTTGATAGTATCATTTAGTGATACATGCTCATATCAATATATTTTCTCTCATCCCGTGGATACAGGATTTGAGACATTACAAGGTCACCCATTTTGGCCTTGTCCCTTTTGCAAGTGGAAAGACTAACTCATGAAAATTTAACAATCAATCAATTAGATACAAGTCAAACAAATTCTATTGTATGGTTTTGAGAGTATCCATTTTCTAATACTATTGTTATTATAAGGAGCCTATTGCTCTTTACCTGAGGAAAAAACATTAGGCTCTTTGCTTAGAAGTGTTATTGTGCTCTTGCTTGTTAAGCCAAAGTACAAAAGATTTTTTATGCACTATCAATGTGTGAGATAGGATGTTAAGGAGAAATTTTTTTATCATTTTATTCTCTGACAAAGTATGTGCAACTGTTATTGCAATTAGGATGATACTGATCTTTTGTCAAGCTGCTACCTTTATTGGTAGTTCTTGGCCAACTCTGATTTATTTTAAAGCATTGGAAAATCTCCTGTAGTGAATGTTACACTGTGAAGGGGACAGGCTTCTTGAACTGTTTGTTGCATGAAAATTTCCTCTAGAGACACTCACATTGGCAGCTTTATATTAGATGTGGTGACCATTCCTAGAATGCTGTTATGCTAAGCAATTTCTTACTTTTTCACAGGAACATAGGATGCGTCTTGGACAAAAAGCCATATTTCACATTGAAGGTATATAGAAATTATCTTGAGAATATTCTAATGTAAGCATGCACAATACTGCATTACATTCTTGTTATAGGTGCAGTAAATTTATTCCTCATTTCTAAGTGATATTACTTTGCTGGAAGTGAGATAATAACCAATTGCCACTTGTCAGCATCGCTAATTCACACCTTTGTTTACTTTTTTTTTTGTATTGTATCCTGGCAACAATATCTCCTTGTTGATTTACGCATTCATTTAGGACATATTTGGAACAAATTGAGAAATTTTGTGGAATTTATTTAAATCTACACTTAGTTTAGAAAAGTATGTAAATTCTATTAGAAGGTAGAAAGAAATTAGCTTCATATGGAATTCCTTATGAAACTTCATGAGGCCAAGTTTTATCATTTCTGGAGGATTTTCGTCGTACTCTACTGAACACTTGATTTGCAAACTAACAAAAATTCTAGATTTTCTCCAAATATAGCCTTCACGTGGATCCTATCCTTCCAAAATAAATTGTTTGGGCATTGTATAATTTATAAAGATCTTAACATTCTAAGATCTATTATGTTTTGGCAATTGAATTGCTTATGATGGAGGAAACTAAAGCAGTTGGATGTACTGTCCTTCATGGATGATGCTGGATGTAGTTCTTAGATAAGCAGGGACCAGAAGTTCTAATTGCCTTCTTCTTTATGAAAAATAAACATTGCCACAACTTAAACATAAAAAGGAAGAAGGAATTTAAAAAAATTGACTGTCATCTTTTAATTGTGGGGAAGAACAATTTAGGATTCAGGCAGAACTCAAATAAGATTATTTACCATGCACCTTTAATGGCTGTTTGTTATCAAGTAAGCCTTAACTGTTCTAACATTGCTAAAGTTTGCATTTCTTGCAATAGAAACCTAGCATGTCCTAATCTCCTCAATAAAAACAAAAATCCAGGTAAAATAAACTGTATAGTTAAAGGAGATACTGATTTACCCCCCTTCTAATCCTCTTGAATATTAGTACCAGCTTAGCATAAATTAGCTTTGAAATCATATAGAAATATTTAATACAGGTATCAGGTGAGACAAGCTAGTGTTGCATCGCAACTGGCCTGACAGCTTTCTAATGGCCTTTGGTTTTTTGTGGATTTTGCAGCATTTGTGGCCAAGTTTATGAGCATTTATAAGAGTTTCCTCATTGCAACATTTGGCTGAAGAGTACTGCAACATCCTTGCCCATGATGTTTCTATGTCATGCTCCCAGATAGCGCCAGGACATAGATATCTATGATCCATAATTTTGTGTGCTGCCATGTTATATAGAGCTTCCCGTACGTTACTGTAGACATTTTTTGGTCTGTTAAAGTATCTGTTCTTGCATAACTTAATTTCTTTCTTTCCCTTATTAGGCTTTTTAAGAATAACAAATGAATCCGCTGGAGATTTTGATAGTGGGATATAGATGTATGTTGTTTCAGCAATCAGATGCCTCATTGCAGGAGTAGAAAATAATTTTTCGGACCAAACAGCAACGGTGTTGAAAAATAGTGGCAGAATGTCTCACACGACACATGCATCGTCATGCTTGTGTGAGCCATATCACATTGCTGTGCGATGCTTTTCTGCCAATTTTTTTCCATACACATATTTTTGACCTTTTATCGGCATCATCTTTCGAAAATAAATCACGTAATATATGTTAGAAACAAAATAGGTCTTCATCCACAGGTTTACGGAAGGAGAAAGAAAGTCAATAATCTGGTGTGATTGTTTATGTTTATGTGCGCGTTAGTAGTGATAGTATTATTGTTTATTATGTAATCGCTACATAAATATGTTAAAATAAGTATTACGGGTGTATTATAGTACGATATAAGTTTATTATAAGATAACGGCAGTTTAACCAATTCCGGAAATTCTAATTTCAGAGTGGAACTGCTTCTCTTTGCATATATCCTCTATTGTGGAGATGAAGACAGATTATGTATGTGGAATTTTATTTTGAATAAGGAGTAGGTTTCTACCACTAGAGATAACGCAATCCATTAGTAAGAATGACAACAGCATAGTTCAGACCATCACAAAAATGCTTTGAGGGTGGCATTAGTTCTCAGCATTATTCTCTTCTTTTAACTTTTTTGTCTTTCACCATTCTTCCACCACCATGTGTAATCCTAGTAAAACCCATGTTTAGATTTTTTTTTTCTTCTTCTCCAGGCCATATTTCTAATTATTATTGTTTTATATAATCAAGATACTTAAAAGAATAAAGTTCCTGCACTTAATTTTTAGTTCAGATGATACTTCTTCACCTTTAACAAGTTAAAGGTAGATGTTCTGACTCTTATTTAAAATAAACATAATATATAAATTATAATTGTACTAAAAACAAATTAAATTTATTAAAAATATAATAATTTATTCATCATTTTATAATTTATTATATAAACTGATAATGATCAATTTATAATATTTAATTCAATAGAATTAAAAATTTAACTTATTCTTATATTAATTAGATTATAATAATTGAATTGAATTAAATTTTAATAAATTTATTATATTTTCTAACGACTAAATTTTTTTTAATTGAGATAGTCACAAACACGTTACTTTTTTTTTTTTTTACTCTTGTAAAAGTACTGGAGAGAGTACTGGGAGATAAATATTTTTGTATACTAGGTATTACGAGGGGGATGGGAATAAAAAGTCTAACTTAATTATAGATAAATTAATTTGGGTAATCTCGGTTAATAGTAATTATCCAAATATAATCTTTTACCTAACGATGAAAAAGAGTAATTAAGCATGCCATTTATAAAAATAAACAACCGGCCCTGACATAATCAAGAAAAAGATTTCTCTGCACAGCCGCATGGAGGAGTAAAAAACAGACGAAAAAATCCTCTCTTTTCCTTTCATTATACAGAAGATAACAAAAGATAATGATGTAGTAATTTTTTTTTCTTTAATTGATATCAAGTAGTCAACAAGGGATGAAACCAGAATCCTGCTTCCACCTGCCTTGTTATTTCCTACGGGATGAAAAACTCTCCCGAGGCAGATGAGAATGTCCTTAAACTTGCCATCTTTATTAAGCGTACAGCCATAGAAATCGCAGTCTAACAAAACTGAAGTCGAAAACCCTCTTTTTCTCTTTCTCTCATGGCAGAAGAAGCTTCCCCAAATTCTCCACATCAACCTCATGTAACCCTCTATTCTTCTTCTCCTCTCTATCTCTGTTTGTGTTCTTGTTTGGTTGTAAAATTGTTTTCATGTCAGTTCAATTTGTGAAGGGGTCAATTTCAATTGCAGCGAGAAAGTTCAAGTACAAAACTCTATATAATACTAGTTGTTAACGTAATTGGTATTGCGTTTTATTACGTTCTTTTCATGGGATTTTGATTTCAGTTCGATGTGTTTGGTAGTTTTTGGAGGTTAGATGCAAAAGTTTTGGGAAGAAAAGCCGATTTGCTGCCGGCACAAAGGCAGGATTCGCAGTATCATTGATTAATAGGAAGTTGGATATTGGGTCTCCTTTGGTTTCCCATATTGAAGCAGTGAAAGAAGAGGAAGAACCCATCATTTTTGGCCCTGATGCGGTTCTCGTTGACTATGGCAGTGATTGGAAGTTACAGACAGTTACTGAAGTTGATTATGGCGGTAACTATGCTATTTTTTTCTTATATGAACTATGTTTCATATTATGACTTGTGCCTAAGTTGCTTGTATGTTGCCCTAATCATCCTTGATGGCTTCTTGATGTAGGAATTACGAAGGGAGAAGGAATTAAATTTATTCCGGCGCGGGTTCCTCTTGTAAAGGTATAATTTTTTTTTTTCCTTGTTTCAGTTATAAGTTTGGAATAGAATTCTCTGTCAGAATTTGCAAAAATTAACCAGGTAGGGTTTAGTTGAATATGGGATGATTTTGAGGTTACTGTTAAGTGGGAGATAAATGGTTTCAAGGTTATCATTTTTCCTAAAAGAAGCTGACTAAATGACCTGTCACTGACGAGAACTTACATTTTGCTCAAGAATGGATAAATCAGGAACCCTTGCCTGTTCTTTTTAGGTCTGATCCCAGTAGTAATAGCTATTCTTGTGCAGTTCAGGCCTATATCAACAAAAATATAACATGATGCAACTCCATGCTAGTAGGAAAGTTTTGTTCTAAAATACAGCTCTGAGAACCTTTCACTGCTTCACATACTCATAGGTTAGGCAATAAATTAGGGGATACTTTTCCTTAGCTGAGTTCTTTTTCTCTGTTATCCTCTGGCTTAGTAAGACGTTAATCTGGCACTGTTATTTAGTCCTTTTGATATAGATGCTTTTGTTCCAACAGGAGATTTGCTACGTACTATGGCTATTATTAAATGCACACATTCCACAATCGGCCTAAGCATGCTTTTGAAAAGATGGAGCAAAAGTTTAGATGTAGACTGGATGTCTATTAACTCTTTCACTAAGCAAACTGTCGATTATGTGCTTCTTACAAGAATAACATGGTACATTTTTATATGTAATCCGCTGACTCGTGGTAATGAAACTACTATTTTTAGTTTTTACCTTTCTCATGAACCTGCTGTTGTTCTGTAACTACTACCGACTGGTCTCACCTCTTTTCCCGTCTTGGGATTAATCTATATTTTAGTTAGTAGAACTGACAAAAAACATGAAAGCCTGTAGGCATCACATTGTGGGCAATGCATGCAATGAGGAAATTAGATTTCTGTAGGAGGGTTCAAAGAAATTTATGCGGCCTGGGAAGAGGTTTGCCATTTTTTAGTTTTCCATGAAGTGGTTGTGAAATGTTGTTTACTCATATCACTTAAATCGTTGGGCAGTGTTGCAGCATTTACTGCATTCTTAGAGCTCTTTCTTAATCCTGGTCTTTGTGGAAGGTAATTCATGGAAGAGAATTCAACTCAGGTCGGTTGCCAAAGCAACTATATGACAGTACTAGGTTTATTTATAGCCAAAAGTATCTCAGTTGCCTTCATTTTTATATCATGCATGCTCCCGTATTTGTTGTCGAAATTGGTAATGAATTACAATTCCCTAACTTGAATTCCTAGTTGCTTTACTTACGAACCAGACAGGTTGTGGAAACAATTTGTTGCTTTTCGACTGTTTCATGTACTGGATTGATGTATTGCGTCTCTTTTTCTTGGACAGGGTTCGGATGGTTCCGGACCTGCAAATAAAGCTTTGAAGCCAGGAATCAGTTTGATATACATGGGGAGAATATTTATAGCCTTTGTTATAATGTTTGTGCTTGGTGGAATATTGACATTGATTCTTGAGAATCTTCCAAGACTACTGTTGTTAATCAACTCTTTCATGTAGTATGTTACTAATCTTCCTTAATTAGATTGGCCATACTACATTGAAATTCTCTAATCTTTGGACTAAAGTATGACTAAATAATTACTGGGTGATTTATGCTCTGTATAAATCTAAGTATACATGTGCTTTACTGTAAGAATTTGTTTTTCTGGTTGAAAGTTATGATTAACTAGTTATTAAGAATGTTGAGACTTGTTAGCATAGAGGATATATATATAAATATACATATTATATTGTTTTTAAGCAATTCTTTAATATTTTTATACAAACTAATTAAAATCAATCAGTTGGTAAATTATTAATGTTAATTTTTTATATTTTATTATTAAATAAAGAGCAAATTACTTGAAACTACCTGTACTTCTAGTTGTAACCTTTTATAACCTATATAGGAAGACAATATTGCTCTTAGTTTAAAAAATAAAGTAAATTAAATATAATAATTTATTTTACAAATCAAGAGACATAGAACTAAATTTATTTTAAAATATTTATTTTAATTCAGTTATTTTATTTATTTAATATACATATTAATTTAGTATTTGTTTTTTAAACTTTTTTTACATTTATGAAAATGAGGGGCTTTACCGTTTCCTAATTAATCCACATGTATGAGCATGGGAAACAATTCTCTGGTCTGAAAAAAGTTGCCGGGAAACTACAACATATATATGTATACGTACGAAGGTCATAAGAAGATCCGTTTTAAGAACAGGACCAACAAGAAGAACGAGCAAACTGAGCTGAGCTAGCTTGAAATAATGGAAATTACCTGGTTGAATTACAGAGTCTACCCTTCCATATATATATATTGACGAGGGCCACCTCTGTAATGAGAAGCGTACATTCTGTTTGAATAAAAGACATGAACTTGAAACGAAATATATGCAGAAGTTAAACAAAAAACTAAAAGAAACCATCTTTTCCAATCTTGAAATTCTGAAACTATTTACACTGTTTTGATTCTTCAACCACCTCCCTAATCGAATATATATCTTTTATATAATATACAAAAAAAAAACGAAAAAAGATGAGCAGTAGTCCTGGAACTAATTATTAAAGATTATGATAGTAAAAATAGTGGGTTGGAAGAGAGGGAGGGGGAGGTTTTGATTGATTTCAAGCATACAATAAAAGATTATCTTTCTAAAACTATTGAGAAGCTGAAATCATATGCCTTCTGTGACTAAGCCAAAGAATCCCCGGAACTGCTATAAATCTCATTGGCATGAGCTGCAGGCACATACACAGCATCCAGCAATGAGCTGTGACTCCGGCCATAGAATACGTAAACAAGCACCCCAATTAAGAGCCAAACCGAGACGCGAGCCCATGTGGCAGGTCTGATAATTGGTATTAGAAAATGTTAGAGAAGAACAAGGAATGAGAAAAACTACACCACTCGGTACAGGTTATTTTATCTATGGAGCATAGATCATTGAGGCGTAGGCTCAGTTATGCAGCCATTTGCCTTGGCTAAGAGAGATAAGTCAATGAGACATGATTCCCTTAAAATGGTGAACAATAGTTAAAAGTAGAGGGATTAACAAGATACTCACCCCAGATTAATCAATAAATAGACGTTGATGAGAATGCAAACAATGGGTAGGAGTGGTACAAACGGACAAATAAAACCTGAAAAATAAAAGAAATGTTTTCAGGTCATGGAACTTGCATGAGTGCAACTCTTATAGAAAAGTTAAGCCTGTACTCGAGTTACTGGAATATGACAGACAGACAGGAAACAAATGCTGGATGAGCTA